GTGTCCTGTGTACTGTTTGTTTGTATATGTGTCTTTCTGGCTGCTGTTACAACCAAATTTCCCCTTGTGGGACAATTAAAGGATTAATCTATTCTATTCTATTCTATTCTAAATCTTTCTCTGCATTAGTCGCTTGCTTACGAGTGTCAGACCAACAACACGTGCAGATGTTGGCAGGAAGCGGCGGCGCAGAGGGACCAGACTGAATGCCAGGCACAGGTGCTGAGAGGCTGGAGCAGCGTGGACCTACCTGTGTTTGGTGTTCATTAACAGTCGGCTTTATTGAACGAGTCGTCACACAGATGAGCTGCAGTTTCCTCCCAGGCACAGCCCCTCCACTGCTGCACCAGTCAAATATTCATGTGCAAACTGGTTTAAGACATTTGTTATGGAATAAAATGTTGAACTCATGAAGCACAGCAGTGATGTTTTCTAGAACTGTAGAGAGTTTGGCTGCAACTCAGGGAAAGAGTCTTTGAATCAAGGAGGGGGGGCTTAAGGGGACATGTTTAACGCTGTTACAATGCTGTGACTGTAGCCACTCCCCAACTCTGGTTATTGATCAGTGGTCATGACAGGTTGCATATTGATGAACATGAAACTGACCTCAGTCCATTGTTCCTTCAGTCATTGTGCAAATGCACCGTTTATCAGGTTGGAAACCTTAAACTGTGACCTGCAAACATACAGACGACCTCTGTGACCTTTCACACTCTGAGCCCAGGTCAGCCAATCACCACATCGGTTACAGCTTCAATTCAGTTTATGCTGCTTTACTTCGTTATTTCTCATTAACAGTCTGCACTTATGTTTCTGATCTTGTCTGTCATGTTGCTCTCCTGGTGCAGTGATGCTGCCCTCTGCTGGACACAGTGGAACCACATCAAGCTCCAAGACTGAAAGTCTAACCAGTTCCTGGTGTTCACAGGAAACAAGCCGTTCATTATAAAGCTGAAAGTATCAAATATTCACAGCGAGAAGGTGAAACTATTCATGTAGTGCTGAGTCCAGGTGTCTCCATCCACAAGCAGAAATCATCAACATCAAAATATTTATTGGATGAACACGATTAAAATCCATCTCGTCCAATCAGCATGTAGAACAAAAATTACAATATATACACTCTTTTGTCTTTACAGCAGCTGGAGGCGAGCAGCCTGTAACGGGAATAAAACCTGAAGCAGGACGAGCTTCATCGTCCAAACATCTCCTGCGAGGCGTAGGTCATGTAGAGGAAGCCGTCCTCATCCTGGTACTGTTTGTACACCTGAGCCATGGTGAGCGACATGCTGGCCAGCCCGCTGTTGTTGATGAGCAGGTAGAAGGCCTGGCTGGGCAGCAGCGCCACGCGGGTCCTGAGGGGAGGAGCCAGAAGGAGCCAGCATTAATGAGAGTCAGCCTGCAGGCTGTTAGCTGCATCAGCACAACAGTGAAGCCAGCACAGCTGTTCAGTGAGGCGAGCACGCGTCAGCCATGTGCAGATTCCAGTTATGATTCGAGCATTTCAAGCATTCGTGCTCACGCGAGGGGGGAAGGGGGGGGGCACATGGAAACTGAGCGAGGGCAGAGTTTAAAGTGAAGCTTGAACCCTGTACAGGTATTCATCTGTCAGCGCCGAGATTATACAAAAGCTCCATTTGTCAGACTGAGGAGCAAATGTATGAGCGACTGCAGCTGGAGCACCGGCTTCAGTGAAGAGACGATCGTGTACCACAAAACACGAGATGATCCAAAACATTTGCCCCTAAAGCCACAACTTTGACCCTCTGATCAGACTAGAGCCCAAAACTGTCACTCACAACAAGATTTTCTTCAGCTTCTATATTCATACTCTGAGGGGGGAAACATCCAACTGTTAGATGATCCCTTGAGGTTTGATATCCAGGTCTTATTTCTGACAATCAGGACAAGTCACTAAAACCCATCAGTGAACCTGAGCATGTGGAGCTGGTGTGCAGCTTTCTCAGGAAACTCCCACAGAAACTTATTGACACCCAGACAAGCAGACAAGCAGACGTTACAGTCAGTGGGCACGATTGTGGGGCAGCGAGGCTGAGACACCAAACCTTTGTGTTCTTAAAATAAAACTACAATACGCGTCTTTGTGTTCACATGATTACAACTACTGAAAACTCAATGTTCCAAATGACAAACAGTTACTGGACACAACTCTGGTTCTGTGAGTAGACAGAGCTCTGTGATTGGCTTGAGCAGCCAGCCTGTGCGCTCTGCTCCAGTCCAATCACTGAGTGATAAAGACTCTCGCAGACTTTAGAGGTTTAAGGTTTGACAGGCATGGATTAACTGTTAAGACACATCCTGTCACTTCATGTTTGCACAGCAGCTTCCTCAGGCCATCATGGCCGTCACAGATCCTGCTGTGTGAACAACA